AGAAATTTCCAAAACACATGCTCAGATTTTTGATGTGGTCCAGTGCAGTTGCCACCAGTATCAGAGATCTAAAAATCTGAAGGCAGAAGCAGAAACAACGTAATGAAAAACAAGGGAAGAGAGTATGAGAATAAGAGAGCAACGTGAGAGAAGTGCTGAGGCTGTACTATAACAAAATCATCTGCGTAAGAATGAAGTACAGCAATAGTCTACATAATACTGACTGACTGTTACACATTTTACATGCACATTCTCAAATCTCTTTCACAATTAAAGATGTTAACTGTTCATCCAAATACTTGCAGAATTTGTATGAAAGGAGAAGTACTTGACATTGTCCACAATTTCTGTTTCACACAGACAAAGTGTTTGTAAACATCTCACAATATTGCCTAAATGAGCAAGTCTCAGAACATATATTTAGAAACATTATTGATTTTAACTACAATTTGTTGTGGTTTTAATATGCTGTCCTCGAATCACCTCACATCTAAATGAAACCGATGCTGCTTGTTCAAGATGGTCTAATTTTCCTCCTACTTAAGCACTGCAAAGGTCGAATAAGGTCTGTGATGAAACCTAAATTCAATTCCTGTAAGGTACCACACACAAACCGATTGATAATCAGACTGTATTGTAATAAATGATAGCTCTGGTTTCAGTATTACCCATTTTATATGTTAATAGCTTTTATGTTTTGAGCATGAGGGAAGAGGTTCTAAATCTTTCCTAAACTTAAATTTCAGAGGCTGCATATCCTTGCAATATAATTTAAAAGGATATACAAAGAAGGAACTCACATTACTGAACAAAGCACGTACACAAACATTGTAAAGCACATAGTATATCCCTGAGGTGCTTTTGAGAATATCATTATCAGCGACCTGGAGATAGTTATAATACCCTTGCTAATACGGTTTTACATATAATGGCTTAAGCAAATAGAAACACAGCAAAATATGTGTAGTATTGTGGTACAGTATCCTCAGACGCCCCCAGGGCTAGTTATCTAAGGTCATTACCTGGACACGCTGCATTGAAATTCTGTGTGGAAAGAGAGGAATTTCACAATCTACTCATTTGAGGTGTTGTGTGTAACCAAAAAAAAAATCACAGATAATTTGTTAAGTCCATTTTCAAAGGATACAAACTGAAACAAGAGTATTGCAGCTGCATGAGGTGCAGCATCCAAATAATTTGACACTTGCCTGTCGTTTTATTTCTGTCACATAATAGCTTCAAAACTTGTTTTGTGAGGAGCTTAACAGAGACGCCAGCGAAGAGCTGAGATACGGGCTGATTGTCATAGGTAATTCACACATTCCCCCTACAAAGAATAATCACTATAGTGTGCACTTATTCCTCATATACTGTGTAACATGGTAACAGGCAACCACAAAAGCTCCCCACCCCCCAGGGAACAATTGGACAAAGCTAACTCTCACCGCTGTATCAGGCTATGCATACATCACAGCAGGCCATTACAATCAACTACTGAGATAGTGCGAGAAACTGGGAGAGGCACAGAGAAAGGCAGGAAGCAGGGAATAAATGCATTTCATTACTAATTAAAAGATGGTTAGTTAGGATTACACACAACGGGCAATTTTACGATGCCAGAATAATGAGAACAAATAAATGTTGCTATAGAAGTTATAAAGGTTGCACATTGTAGCAAGTAGGAGAAACCATTGAAATGCAAGTCTCATTAATACAGAGAACTTTAACAAAGAATTGAGTAAACCTGCACACTTTGTCATTCTGCACTAACATTTCATTAACTCATGTATTGCATTTCCCACTATTATGGTCACAAATGAACTTGTGTAAAAGGATATGTTTTTCTTATTCCACCAACCCATCATTTTTCTAATAAACCTGTACCTAAAATGAGTCCTGAGCTCAGACAAGGCAGTAATTAAATCCCTAAAAGTGTATGAAACAGAGCAAGTTGTGTCATAAGGATTACGCTCACATCCTCACCCAGCACAGAATGGCGGACAGGGAGTGACAGTACTTTCCTACTCGCCGCCATGAGCACTTATTGGTCCATGGAGAAGGATGAAATGTTCCCATCACACCCTCTTGCACACATCACACTCTCTCACACACGTACACACACATAGGGATTATTCATGTGTGGCCAGCTTCTGAATGTAATCAGTAACAGGTATAATACATTAATTTATTTTTAAAAGAAACACTGCCGTCTGTGTTATTGATTATTTATATTTGTGTTGATTATTCATATAAATTAGCATCTGTGTATGTGGGTGTCCATGTATGTCCAAGCATGTGTTTATGTATGCCCCTGTACCTATATGTACATTCATGTGTGTATGTATACCCCTGTACCTATNTACATTCATGTGTGTATGTATACCCCTGTACCTATTTGTACATTCATGTGTGTATGTATACCCCTGTACCTATATGTACATTCATGTGTGTATGTGTATCTGTGTGACTGTATGTTTGTATGTGTGTCTTTGTTATTGCATGTATGTGCTGTTGCAATCACTTTTATGGATGCCAGTCAACCCATTTGCATTCCTGTATGTTCAGTTCTCAGTCAGCATGTTGGAACTTGCAGTATGTATGAAATGAAGACAACTGTAGCAGCTGAACTGTTCTTAGCATATTCACGTGCCCCCATCACTGGGCGTTCCCATTAACATGTTCATCTCAGCTGTCCATCATGGCCGCTACACTCTCTGCCTGACAGGAGTCCGGAGTTGGACGGTCTCCTCTGGCATTCCCTCCTTCATTTTACATCAGGGTGAGCAGATGCTTTGAGGGTGACAGCCGAGTATCATTGTCACTGTGAAAGACACAGTGTTTCTGAGAGGTCTGTGTGTGTGTGTGTGTGTGTGTGTGAGCGGGTTTACCTATCTTTATGGGGACATAATGTCCCCATAACGTGATAAATATCCGTTTTTTTTCCCCTTATGGGGACCGGTTTTATAAAAATTGGTGACTGCTATGAAAAAACTAAAAATGCAAAAACTCTTGTATTTTGTAAGGTTACTTATGGTTATGGTTAGGGCAGGGTAGGGGTTAAGGTTGTCAAAATTAGCATTAGCATTTTTCCCATAGAAATGAATGAGCAGTCCCCATAAGGATATGTTTACCCTACGTGTGTGTGTGTGTGTGTGTGTGTAGCAGCTGTGTATGGTCACGTTGCTTAGTCTGGGTATGGTGAATTTGTGGCTGAGATAAGTTGGTCAGGTAAAAAAAATGACCAATTTCATAAATAAATCTAAATGAACAAGCAACAAGATTTTGACAAAATCAAGCACATGGAAAGCCTGAGAAAAAATAATACCTGTACAGATCAGTGTTGTGTGATAAATTATGTTAATATGTTGAATGTGTTAATATTTTGAAAACTAAGTGGTCAACAAGGAGTTTTCACATTATATCCTTGCCCTTTTTATATTAAAGCATAAAAAATGTGAGGAAAAATTCTGTTCTACTGTATGAATGTCAAATGTCTTAGAATGGCTGCTGTCACCGCCCCCCTAGACAATACATTAAAGCGTAACATCAGTATACATTACCTACAATGGCGCTACACTTTGCTGTCTCGCGTTTTTCATATTACTGAATCGTTGTTAAACCTGAAAGGTGTGAACTGAAATGTCTCTTTTTGCCAGTCCACATTTGTTAGGTAAAATTCTTGACAAGCAATTTAGAAATGAGACTATCCAGGGCTACGTTTCTTATAATGGTATATCTTGAGAAGTAAAAAAAAAATACAGCATTCGTTTTGGCTACTTTAAATAGTATTTTTGAAATGTAATGTAATTAGCCAACCTATTGTTATAGCAGGCTGTGAACACTAAGATTTAAGGATGTTTAACAAAGCGCATCTTCGAAATGCGACACGTTTTTTTGTATCTTTCTTTCTTTTTTCTTTACAAGTTTTAAGTGATAGTACAATCATCCCAGTTTAAATTAAGGCGTGTTATTTGTCTTGCAAAGATGTGCGCTCTTTCAACACGCCCGTGTGGCGCCGATCGGAGATGCTCACTGACCAGCATCGCGACTGAAACGGGAAAGCGAAGCCCTTTCAGCGCAGAGAACAAGTTCATTTTTTCCGGCAAGAACATAGAAACAGACCGACCAATAAATAAATTAAGGAATAGACAGACAGACAGACAGACAGACAGACATTAGACAGATAGATAGATAGATAGATAGATAGATAGATAGATAGATAGATAGATAGATAGATAGATAGTTGATAGATAAAAGAAACACAAATCCTAATTGCAAATGAAACCCCAATCTCTGTTAGTCACTACGTATCCGCGCCGTGCAATAGAGGGCATTTCAGCACCGGAGCTGTCACACAGCTACTGTATTGTAAAGCTCTACCCACCGAAATACTTATATAACGCAACGTTCCTCCAGTGGCCAAATACACCAGTATATCCAAATACTACGGTGTATATTGCGCTCGGTTTCTTTACAAATGCATTAAAGGAGAATGGTTATAAAAGACACCTACATGATAGACACGAGAATCTACCTATGTATTATTTTCATATTCATATTTACCGTCCCATTATTGTAAACATGTTCAACAATAGCTTGTACATTTCATAAAAAAACAAATATTTGTTATGGACAATGGTTATAGGTTATATTAACTGCTACACGAGTAAACTGTTGTTATACATCTTTATCAAAAATAATTCATAATAGTTAAAAAAATATATAGTAGTAGTAGTAGTTGTAATCGTAGTTGTAGTAGTTATAATACTCGTTTTCGCCATTATGGCAATAATAAACAAGCATAATTCTCGATAGTAAGGACGATGGTGACAATAGCTTAAAAATCTGTTGCCGTTATTGTGCTGATAACAGACGTAGTCACACAAAGAACTACACAGATGTTTTATTTTTTCCGTTTATTTATAGTCGCTTTCCGTGGTGGAATGTACCATTTTGTGCTTGATAAAGAAAGGGGGAGAAAAAGTGAACCATGCTGCAAGAAACTAAAATTCCAATTTTATCTTTCTCCGAACCACCCTGCACTGCTTAGACCTCTTGGAGTCGACCCCGTCTGTTTAAACCGAAAGGACACCCATATCGACTCCTCAATGCAAAAAATAAAAGGGTAGCTAGAATCGGGGACGAGGGGAACGGAGGTGTAAATAGAAGGCAAACACTTTCATTCTCTTTCTCTCTTTGTTAAATGAATGGATTCATTATTGAGTGTAATATATATGTGTATATGTCTGAACACGCCTCAGTAGGGACCAGCAGGCGCGCGCAGCTTTGATGTGTCTTCTTTTCGACTATCACCTGCAATTATATATATGTAAATATTTGCATTAAAAAAACTACAGCAGGACCTTCTACTTTTACACGGCCGAGATTCATTACAATTACAACTAAGCCTCTGCTACGGTTATTAGCAGCATCAGTACCAACTCGTTCCCACTGAGAAGATGGCAACTTTAACGAACGGGCAGGTGGACGGCGGCACGGGACACGGCGGCGCCGCGAGTACCAACGGGCTCGTGAACGGATTAAGCCACGGCCACGGTCCCGCGAGCTGCGCCACCATCCCCATGAAGGACCACGACGCCATAAAGCTCTTCATCGGGCAAATACCGCGTAACCTGGACGAGAAGGACCTGCGACCGCTCTTCGAGGAATTCGGCAAAATCTACGAGCTCACCGTGCTGAAGGACCGCTTCACTGGCATGCACAAAGGTAGGCAGCGGCCATAAGCCTGGCGGCGCGTGCCTCTCTGTGGCTCTGGCTGCCCACCGCTACGTTGGCATGGCTACCCTCCCAGTTCCCTCATACATATGCATTAGAATAAAGAAGACGTTATTAGAATTCTTCGTGTTAACGTACGCGTATTATTTCTGTTTTCCATTCTCAGTAGTCAAAATGGCATGAGTCATTTGTGACTTTGTAGCCCGCTGGGTAGAGATGAGTGCTGAAACACCTTGTAACGTCGCGCGCCAAAGCCCTGGCACACACGCGCACACACACAATACACAATATATATAGTTTGTTTGTTTGTTTATTTATTTTAAAAGATTAATTAAACAGCCCTTCGGCATTTTGTGTCTCAGACGTATATCACGAAACATTTCTAGGCAATAAGTTCACTGTCGATGCAAGCTTTTCTCATAAAAGTTTAGAGAATTTCTGCTGAAGAGCGACGAGCTATTTCTAGTTAAACCCCTTCAATTGAGCGAAGTCTGGGAGATGATATGCTGTCATACGAATATTATGTTTGCATACTGGGCTTGTGTGAGATACAGTGCGTAAGGAGGTAGTCCCTTGCGTTATTGCAAGTTGGATAAACCCAGACCCATACGTTTCAGTTTGTTTAGATTATGCTAGTAAAGGAACTGACTTTAATCATGTAATTGTAGATCTAAATAATGCACAATTACAAAATTATTTGTTAAAAAGTTTCAATCACTCTTTTTGCAGGCAGTCATAAAAAATATTCAGCACAGTTATCAGAAGTGTGATTGTGATGTTAAATACGCGTCTTTGCTCTGACACTATTTGAAACCTTTCTGGACTGGAGTCCTTTTGACGATGCATTTTTGGCCAAAAAAATACCGAGCTTTCATCTACAACCAGCAAGCAGACTTTGGCGAGTCGCTGGGTTTAGAAACATTGTACAATGGTTTTTACGGTCAAACGAGGAGAATGGTTCGTTCGAAGGATGATATGTTTATTTTATTTTACTATAATATAATACTTATGTAAACCAGTGCAGTTTTCTGCAGTAAATATAGTGTTCTTGTAATCCATACATCAATAAAGAAATAGTGTAATGAATAGTTTTAAATGTCCGACACACGTGTTGTAATTCTTGTTATCTATTTTATCAGTGTCTAATTGAGGTTATGCATCGAGGTCATTGGAATGTCAGTATAAAAGCCACATGAAGCCAAGACTGGCTGTTCCCAACCGTGCTGCAAACAAAGTGACATTAAATGTGCACTTGAAAGCGACAATAATAAATAAATAAAGCACTAGGCAGTGCAGATGTTATCTTTTATTAATAGAGGAGATATAGTAGTGAATCGCTGTCTAGTAGTTAATCACTTTTTTTTTTTTAATTATGAGTTGTCATGCTAGCTGATTCCAGGGATTGGCTCCTTCCTTGAATATACGCTCCACAGGTGCATTCTTTAGTACCCCTCCAGTTGCCAAAGTAATAGCACAAAAAGAGACTCGATTCGTGAAATTCAGGCGTCCCTGTGGCTCTCTGTGGCACAGGACAGGCGTGGCTGCCGTGGCTTTTCGCAGGACGCGTGCTTATTCACACACATTCTTACTGGTATTCTTCCAAGGCGGATACAGGGCAGGCGAGCTGGGGGCCTTCCATCATGCTCTCCCTGCCCCCACCCACGGCTTGCAGATCCACTGTGGCTTAGCTGGCTTTGCAGATGAAGTACACCGTTAGGCAATTAAAAGGCACAGTAAAACATCATATTCAATTGGATTATAACCTCAGCTCAAGCCAAGCGATTTATCAGTTTGGGGGGAAAAAATTGAATGTCACTTACCTACTTTAATATAAATAGATTTCCTACCCGGTGTATAAAAAGTCCTGCCTATTTTTTTCTGTTCTTTCTGAAACAATATCCACCTGCTTGAGTCTTTTGGGCAGCTGCAGATGCAACTTTCTAATAAAATCTCAAAAGTACAAAACTATTTTGAAGTTTTAAAGAAAATTATTAAGAAATGTATCTTTTTGACCTAATAATTTGAGTGAATAATAACAATAGTTTTTAAATCATGTTTTTAGGAGTTATAATGATTGAAGTGTACCTAATAATTTCATTGTAAACTTTTATAGGAATGCACTTAATAACTCAACTGTGTGATAATGATAAAAAGTGTAAATATTGATGAACTATAATGAGATGCAGTCCTTTCAGCCATGCTCCCCCTCTCTGTGACTTTTGTTTTATTACATAATCCCATATTGTCCAATATATGTGGATCCACATGATTTAATTATGCAGAATGATATGGTCCACAAGAATACACACAATGTGACATACAGTGTAACAATATTCAGCATTAAAATCACATCCTTAGAAAAAAAAAACAGTATATTTTGCTAGAACTGAGCCATCTTTATTTGTTTTTTTTTTTTGTCTTTAATCATGTTTGTCATAGTACAATGTTCATTCTAGTGCGATGACATTGTTAAATTGGAAAGCCTCTTTTTCTGGAAGGTTAAATCCAATGAGAGATGCAATAAAGGTGAGGGGGGGGGAGATAAAGGTGAAGAAGGGGCCGATATGTTCCACTATGATTTTATTTTTCTCCCCACCGTAACTTGCCTGTTATAATAGAGGCCATTTGTAATAATCACCCCATGCTATGGACTGTGGGCATATAAGACTGTCTTTTTAAATCTTTATTTCATTGTGAAAAAAAAAAAAATGGCAACATAAAGATGCACGAGTTAAGGCTAATTCTGCAGAGAACCTGTTTACTTTTGCTGTTCTATGATTATTATTATTGTTGTTATTGGACATCGGATCAAAGGGTTTTGTTTTTTGCATTTTCGTTTTCTTCTAAAATGCAACATTAAAAATGTGGATTGTGGCAGAGTCACCTGGAATGGTGATATCTTGAGCACACATAGTCAGTATGTGTCCAAGCAAACGTGATTGAGTTGTTTGCAGAACCCCTATTGTCTGCCTTGTTGCACGCAAGTGACATTGATTGACCTGCCTCTGGTCGTCTCTGCACATTATTATCTCTCACTTGGTCAGCATGTACACTATCATGTTGAGCATCTTGCCCCTGCTAACAGTGTTCAGTCCAGGCCAGTGCCTCCACCTAAATCCACGCTGTCAGAAGGTAACGTTTGATACTTATTCACCTTTCCCACGTTTTCTTAATTGTTTTTTGGAAAAACACATGGGAATGAGGAATATTGCATTTTCTGATATGTTTATGAATGCACCGTGGTGAATTTGGAAGTGTGACCTCCTTCAAATAGTGCTGCAGAGAAACGAACCATATTGAATTTTTTAGGCCATTTTCGAAACGCTAGGGCTGATTGTTGGGCATTCCCTTGACACTTCCCCAGCTGGTGCTGTTTTATTTTTGATAAGATGCTCACCGAAAAAGGAGCAGAAAGGAGCCTGCTTGTGTTTTTCTGCTGGTGCCTGTTTATGCAGCGCGCGTTCACTCGGTGCGATTTCACCGCCGTTGCATCATCTTCACAGTTTTTCGCATGATCAGAATCTGCGTCGCTTCTCCCTCTCCCTCTCTCTCCCACACAAATTTTCAGTCGGTGCCTTTGCTCATCCTTGAATGCACATTCAGAAAGAATGTCATTTCTGCTAGTGTTAGTCAGTTTTTAGCTATTTGTGTACGAAAGAAGCAGTAAAGTGACCCTGAGCGATGTTGCGCATGAACTTCACGAATGAGGTACTGGGGGGGGTGGGGGGGGGTATGGGGGATTGCTCACGCTTTTCCCTTCTTTTTTCTGCAAATATGCAGCTATACGTCTGAAATGGAAAATGAAAATGAAACGTCTCTGCTAAATAAGTAAATGTAAAGCACAGAAAAAATGAGGTCTTATTCCTCTCTTACCTTTTTAACAAATAAAATATTTGAATAATACACATATTACATTGTTAAATTAATAACATAAACAATATTGTTTACTAAAAAAGAACAATGAATTCTGTGCACAATTGCTGTGTATTTATGTGAGTTATTTTTTTAGTGAAAGGTAAAAATTAGTGTTTCAGTTACTTGGAATAGTACAAAAATACTGAACTGAATGCATGAAAAGCCCAGTAAATACTGCCAGTACTGTCTGTTTATATCGAGAGCAGACATCCCTGGTACTAGATGCCAGCAAACAGCTTGGAGTTCAGTATGATTTTGTATATGCGGAGGAGCAGCAGGAAAAGTGAGAAGAAATGCAAGGATTTGTCGAGTGACTGTAAATTTCAGTACATAGCAGCACATCAGAATTTATAACTTTTCAAAAATGTCTTTATACAACATATGTTTCGAAGTTTATCTGTTTTTTCCTATATGCTTGTTTTTTTACATTTATATTGCTTTTTTATTTTAAGCATATTATCTTAGTGGGAGGAGCGATATAAGAGCAGTTGTGATTTCTGGACAACATAAACATGAATATTATCACAATAGAACACATGTCCATATTATTCTGCAGCCTTTTAAAACATTGCCTCATGTTACCTTCCCTATTTGGGGTGGCCATGTGGTTTGAACACCCTGAATAAAAATTCAAATCAATAATATGCATTCATGTGGCCGGTCCTGTGACACCTGACCTGCTTAGGGAATAAAGCACCATGCAGTGTTTGCTGGAGAATATGAACAAAGCTTAGTAACTATTGATCTATATTGCATAGAAATATAGATGCATTGAGTGTTTGGATAAAATTTTCTGGGTTTGGAGAACATAGCTAATTAAGTCCCAAACTGGTAGCTGTAACGTTGCCCTGGTAGCTAAGCTGTAACGTTGCTCTGGTAGCTGTAACGTCGCTCTGGTAGCTATAACGTCACTCTGGTAGCTGTAACGTCGCTCTGCTTTTGGAATTGACAGTGAGACCTTTCAGTCACAGCTCAAGCAGCAACCAATAGAAGCCTTCCTGATTACGTAATATTTAGTAATCCATTTTGTCGTTAGGCTCAGATTGTTAAATTACAGTGGTGCCTCATACTTCGAA